TGAGGTTAGAATTTCAAGGCCAACCCAGCCAACATGGGGAAACCCCGTCTCTACTGAAAGTACAAAAATTAGCCAGGTCTAGTGGTGCAAACCTGTAATCCCAGGTACCTGGGAGGCTGAGGCACGAGAATCATCTGAACTCACAAGACAGAGGTTGCAGTCAGCTGAGCTAGTTCCACTACACTCCAGCCTGGACAACAGAGCGAGACTCCGTCTCAAATAAATATATAAATAAATAGCGGCCGGGCGCGGTGGCTCACGCCTGTAATCCCAGCATTTTGGGAGGCCGAGACGGGCAGATCACATGGTCAGGAGATTGAGACCATCCTGGCTAACACGGTGAAACCCCGTCTCTACTAAAAATACAAAAAATTAGCCAGGCGTGGTGGCAGGTGCCTGTAGTCCCAGCTACTCAGGAGGCTGAGGCAGGAGAATGGCGTGAACCTGGGAGGCGGAGCTTGCAGTAAGCCGAGATAGCTCCACTGCACTCCAGCCTGGGCGACAGAGTGAGACTCCGTCTCAAAAAAAAAAAAAATTAAAAAAATTAAAATAAAAAGCGAATCCACCACAATCAAGTAGTCTTTACTCCTGGGGTGCAAGGTTAGTTCAACATACGTAAATCAATAAATGCGATTCATCACATAAACAGAATTAAAAACAAAAACCACATATCAGGTCAGCCGCAATGGCTCATGCCTGTAACCCCAGCACTTTGGGAGGCTGAGGCAGGCAGATTGCTTAAGCCCAGGAATTTGAGACCAGCCAGGGCAACGTGGCAGAATCCCATCTCTACAAAAAAGAAAAAAAATTAGCCGCGCATGGTGGAACCCACCTATCTACTAATACTCAGGAGGCTATAGTGGGAGGACAGATTAAGCCCATGAATTCAAGAACAGCCTGGGCAACAAGACAGAATAAATTCTGTCTCTATTTAAAAATAAAAAAGGAGGCTGGGTGCGATGGCTCACGCCTGTAATCCCACCACTTTGGGAGGCCGAGGTGGGCGTATCACGAGGTCGAGATGGAGACCATCCTGGTCAACATGGTGAAACCCCGTCTCTACTAAAAATACAAAAATTAGCTGGGCATGGTGGCACGTGCCTGTAGTCTCCACTACTCGGGAGGCTGAGGCAGGAGAATTGCTTGAACCCAGGAGGCAGAGGTTGCAGTGAGCCGAGATCGCACCACTGCACTCCAGCCTGGCGACAGAGCAAGACTCCGTCTCAAAAACAAACCAAAAAAAAGAGAACATACTGTATAATTGAAAATTACTAAGACAGTAGATTTTAAGTGTTCTCACCACACAAAAATAAATATGTGAGGTAATGCTTGTTAAATAGCTTGATTTAACCATTCCGTGTATACATATATCAAATCATGCTGTACACTATAAAAAATACAGTATACAACTTTTAGTTGTGAAAAAAACATGATTTATTAAATGCTTCTCCCCTCTTCATCACCCTCCCCTTCCTTTTGCTACCTCACAGTCTTTGGAATTCTCAATCTGAAATGTACCTATCCTTCAAAACTCAATTTAAATCCCACTGGCCGCATCAATGCTACGAAATTCCCCTCTCTGTATCCTAAAGCACACATCCTCACCCCTTTATGCTGTTACTTTTTCCATGTTTGCCTTGTTTTTCCCCAAAAGCTGTAAGATCCTTAAGGTCAGGAACCACATATCGCTCCATATCACCTCCAGGACACTCAGCAGAGAACCTTGGATATATTTAGGAAGAATCTGGTTATATTCAATTGTGTTAGGCCTCAATTTACAAATCAGACATGACAAATAACATATCAGACCAAAAGGATCAAGAAACTTCTCTAGGCATTAAGTAAGGCTTAGAAAAACACCTACTCAGCCTTTAAAAATATCCCTTTGAAATAAGGACTTAAAGGTGAGAAGAAAATATATAATCAACTGTGGAAATTTAGACTGTCTTCTCACTCTCTTTTTTTTTTTTTTTTTTTTTTTTTTTTTTTTTTTGAGATAGGGTCTCACTCTGTTGCCCAGGCTGGAGTGCAATGGTGTAATCACAGCTCATTGCAACTTCCGCCTCCTGGGGTCAGGCAATCCTCCTACCTCAGCCTCCTGAATAGCTGGGACTACAGGTGCATGCCACCACACACGGCAGATTTTATTATTTTTTGGTACAGATGGGGTTTCTCCATGTTGCCCAGGCTAGTCTCAAACTCCTGAGCTCAAGCAATCTGCCTGCCTTGGACTCCCGAAGTGTTGGGATTACAGGCGTGAGCCACCACGCCTGGCCAACTTCTCACTCTTAAAGGCAAAATAGTGAACAGCAACTTAAAGATCAAAAAAGCTAAGGTTGCAATATTCAACAAGGCATCACATTCAATAACACACCCCTGGTCGGTTACACACATACTGGCTGAATTCCAGACCCCCTCTCTATGGTAAAAGAGTTCTGCAGGCTCTGATGTTGGCTGGAAAAAAACTAGGCACCTGCTCTTCCCAGCACTGAAATATGGCCAAAAAAGAAAAAAAAAAACCATAAACACACAGCAAAATCAGCAAGCAAAGCTAGCATTTAGGCGGGGAGTGGTGGCTCACGCCTGTAATCTCAGCGCTTTGGAAGCCCGAGTCGGGCGGATCACTTGAGGTCAAGGGTTCGAGACCAGCTTGGCCAACAAGGTGAAACTCTGTTTCTACTAAAAATACAAAAATTAGCCAGGGTGTGGTGGTCGCGTGCCTATAGTCCCAGCTACTTGGAGGCTGAGGCAGGAGACTCGCTTGAACCCGGCAGGTGGAGGTTGCAGTCAGCCAAAATCATGCTCCTGGGTGATAGACGGAGACTGTCTCAAAGGGAGGAAAAAAAAAAAGCTAAGTAGCATTTATACGAAACTATGACTCCGATGTTGGGGGTGAGGCAAGTAGAGAGGACAGAATATATCATAATGCCTTAAACAAAACTTTTGAGAGAGAGAAGACTATAAAACACCCTTTAAGCACTTACTCACTGGACTCCATTTGTTTCTAAGAAATAAGATATACAGACTCACTTTAGAAGGCTTCCTCCTACACTGTATCTGAGACACCATAAATATAAACATACATTATGTTGCCACTCTATGGTTAGGCTGAACCTGGACACTTCTAAGGAATGGAACAACCATGAAGGCAGTTGGCCAAAGATAGGACTGACATTCACCCTGGGGGAACTCCTCGTAGTAGCTACAACCCAAGCCAAAACAGCTTCTGGGTTTGTGATGCTGGTGCTGGCTAATAAGCTGCGTAAGTGTTGTTTGTTTTTTGTAGAGAGGAGTCTCACTGTGTTGCCCAGGCTGGTCTCAAACTCCTGGCCTCAAGCAATCCTCCTGCCTCGTCCTCCCAAAGTACTGGAATTACAGACCTGAGCCACTGCGCCTGACCTACAAAAGTGCTTTTTTCACAACCACAGCACTGCCTCTCAAGGAGCTAACAGTCTGGCAGAAACTCGTGAAAACCAATTTCATGTCAGAGGAAGCAACCCCAACATTCTATCCCGGCTCTTTTTCTTAAGTGAAGAAAGGGACAGGGCGGGGGGGCGGAACAATGGTATTAAAGACACTGGCAACATGACAACCAAAATAAACGAAGTTGAAACAGTACTGCCTTCCTCCTAAAGCCATTTCCTTCAATAGTGATAGGAGTGCAGGCCGTCTGCAAGTCATTAGTACGCTGCTATTTTCACTTTCACAAGGACCCTGGAAACCTCTGAAGAGCAAAATCCTCCTTTTCGCCTCACAGATACCATCCAACCCCTTTTCTGTGCTTCCTTCCTTCCCCAGAGAAAACCGAATAGGGACAATCCTCAGCAATCCGCTATTTTGCTTCACTGACAAGGGAGGTGGCGGGGGCGGGGGGAGTGAAAAGTGGAAAAGAACGTAGAGGAAGGTGAGAAGACACAGCGGAAGGAGTATGGGGGGAGGTCATCGTGGGGAAAAGACCAGGTATAAAAGAATGCAAGAAAATTGAGGGGAGAGTTATCAGAGGGAAACTTGCTAAGAAAAAAATAATAATAATGACAGGAGAGGTAAAGAGGTGAGATCAGGTGGAGCAGCCCAGGATGAATTAAGAGGTGGGCAGGAGGTACGGGGTCGGAGCCGTGACGCCCAGGGTCTAGGGCCAGTGGCTGGAAAAGTGGGCAGCAGGTATTCGGCGGACCAATGTCCTGGGAGTCAAGGGTGTGCGGAAAGCTCCAGACCCAGTTCCGGGACATCAGGGCCAGGAATCTATGAGGTTCCCAAGTACAGAGAACACGGGGCTCTTACCGGTAGTTTGGGGCTGACCTCGCCCTTGCAAAAGTGGCAGAAAAACCGGTGGGCGGCTACAGCGGCGCCCGAGTCCGCCCCGGCCGCCGAAGCCTCCGCCATTTTTGTCCTCCGCCGCGGCCGTCCGAGAGGGCAGCCGGCCCGTCCCTCGCCAGGCCGCTACCTCCCGGGCTGCAGTAGCCACCGCCGCCTCGGTGCGGCCCACCGCTTCAGAGCCCGCGTCGGTCACGTGAGTCGGCCAGACCCAGAGAGGCGGCGGCGCCAACAGCAACCCTACGGCCCGCCTCCCAGCACCAAACAGGCGCAGGAAGGAGAGGCAAACCGCCAGCCCGCCGGCTCTACAAACAGCCCCTCGCTGGTCCTCCAGCCTTCCAGCGAGAAAAAAGAAAGAGCGTCCCCGGAAGCCGCCGAAACTCTAGGGTAGAGCGGCACGCGCTTTTTGCCTTTCCGCGTCCTCTTCGGTGGCCGTCCTCTTCCTTGAAAGGGCGGTGGGCTCCACTTCCGCTCAGAAGGCCAGCGGGAGCCGCAGGAAGCCGTCGCGGGAAGTTCAGCAGCATTGGGGTTGGTGCCTCTGAACTGCGCTGATCCTGAGGTTAGTGGAAAATGCTGTCTGAACGTGGCAGCACTTGACTGGACCAAGAGACCAAATCCGGAATGGGAACCTGTGTAAAGGGAGTGTAGGAGCTAGGAGCCAAGCGTCTTGTAAGTCCTTTCCGAGGATGGCAAGGGATCTGGGAATGCTTCTCCAAAGACACGCGGATAGACGAAATAGGTCTCTGGTGATACTGAGGCTTCTTAGGAATTGGAAGAAATAAGTAATGTTTGGTAGCAATTTGTAATAAGGAAGTAATCGTATAATAAACTACGTCCGTTTCTGATTGTGTCCACTTTGTCAAGGAGTAGAAGTTTAAGAATTGAATGCTGTCCTGCAAACAACGTAACCTCATCTCCTATTTGACACGCCCTGTTGAGAAGCAGTCCTTTACCGCCTAAACTTCTTTTTCGAAATTATCATTTCTTTTATGAACTAAGAATAACACTGCCTGCTCACTTCCACCGGGCTGTGAACAGTGACCTTAATTCTTCCAAGCAACGAAGTGTAGAAACTAAGGTCTGTGACAGACTGCAAAATCATCTACTCCCAATCTTTAAAGAAAATCAGAATCATGCATAATCCCATAGAGGTATATTTGATGCACAGTCTTTTTCTATGCATACATTTTTCCTTTTTTTACAATAATTGAATTTTTATATTTTTTCAGCTTCTGTCACTTAATATATTATGAATAATTTTCTTCTTTTTGTTTTTTGGTTTTTTTTTTGAGACAGAGTCTCGCACTGTCGCCCGGGTTGGAGTGCAGTGGCGCGATCTCAGCTCACTGCAACCTCCCTCTCCTCACTTCAAGCAATTCTCCTGCCTCAGCCTCCCAAGTAGCTGGGATTACAGGCGCCCGCCACCACGCCAAGCTAAATTTTTTTTGTATTTTTAGTATAGAAGGGGTTCACTATGTTGGCCAGGCTGTTCTCAAACTCCTGACCTCGTGATACGCCCACCTCGGCCTCCCAAAGTGCTGGGATTGCAGGCATGAGCCACAGCGCCGGCCTATTATGAATAATTTTCTTCTACACGAATACACATGGTACTAAATAACTTTGTTGGCATAGTATGCCATTGTATGGGTATGCCATCATTTATTGTTAGACGTTAGATTGTTTCCAGTAAGTCTGTATTATAGAGAGAACTAATGACTTCATTATTATTAGCTTTTTATTCTTTCCTTGGATACAATATCCAAAAAGAAATTGTTGTTTCAAACATATGCAAGATTTTTAAGGCTTTTTGATATGTATTGTCAAATTGCCCTCCAGAAAGAATACATGAATTTACACTCAGCAGCTCTGCTTCCAGCATGAAAGACTTTCCATTGTACCGTTTTGGTGTTTTTTCCCTAGCTCTCAGACTCCTCAGTACCATGACTCAAGCAGAAATTAAGCTCTGTTCTTTGTTGCTGCAAGAGCATTTTGGAGAGATTGTAGAAAAAATTGGAGTCCATCTGATAAGAACCGGCAGCCAGCCACTAAGAGTAATTGCCCATGACACAGGAACATCACTGGATCAGGTATGTCTAAATGACATTAATTTTCTCTCATTTCACTAATTTATCTCACCCATCTTTGAATATTGTTCTTCTCACCCCAGAAAGGGAAAAATGAAGAAAACCTGCCCTGGGAGCAGAACAATGTTATTTGGGGAAGAAAAGGATGGGACTTAGGCATCAACATTTTGTTTCTCAAAGTGTTCCTAGTTCATGACAGCTTTTAAGCAAATCTTTGCTCTTCCCATGCCATACCTCATTTATTCACAATAGGTCTATTAATTTCAGTACTGCCTTTAAGGAATGAGAATGATTAAAGTAAATTGTGTTTTGAAAGATAAGGATCAGAGTAAATATAGCAAGGAATCTTCCTGATTTATTGTATTGATGTCTGATTCTTATTAGCTACTCCAATGGAGAGAAAATAAGTGCAGAAATTATCTAGCCATTTTCTGATGCTTAGTAAGTTGTTGGACAAAAAATTTCCAGCAGTAATGAGCTATATCTTCAGGTCTTTCCTCTCTTCTCTTTATGTCCCATCTAGGTGAAAAAAGCCCTGTGTGTCCTCATCCAACATAACCTGGTGAGTTATCAAGTGCACAAACGCGGTGTGGTGGAGTATGAAGCCCAGTGCAGCCGGGTATTGCGAATGCTTAGATATCCCCGGTACATCTATACTACCAAAACTCTGTACAGTGACACTGGAGAACTGATCGTTGAGGAGCTTCTGTTGAATGGCAAACTGACAATGTCAGCTGTTGTGAAGAAAGTGGCAGACCGGCTCACAGAGACCATGGAGGGTTAGTACTGTATCCGTAGTTGTTAACAGAAGCATAGATCAGCTGCCTACAGGAATGGACCCTGAGCTATCTTAGGCCGTCTCATCTGCCTTTTTCCTCCTCTTATATAGATGGCAAGACCATGGACTATGCTGAAGTATCAAACACATTTGTACGACTGGCAGACACACACTTTGTACAACGCTGCCCCTCAGTACCTACCACTGAGAATTCAGACCCTGGGCCACCACCACCTGCCCCCACACTTGTCATTAATGAAAAGGACATGTACCTGGTTCCTAAGCTGAGCTTGATAGGTAAGGAATTTTAACCCCTGGAACTGTGACTTGCCTTAATTGTGGATTCTTCTTGATTGATTATCAAATGTATGAATCAGTTGAACATTTACCATTGGTAAATCAGACTGATTTACCAATCAGTCTGAACATTTGCTATGTGTCAAACATCGTGGTGTATAACAATGAAAAAATCATGGTCTCTGTCATGGGGCTTTAGGAGACATACATTAATCAGAAAATCACATCGATATATCATTAAACGGTGATAAGTACTATGAAGGAAATATTCCTATGAAGGAACTGTCATAGTATTATGACACATACATTAATCAGAAAATCACATCGGTATATAATTAAACCGTGATAAGTACCATGAAGGTAAAGTATGAGGTGTTATGAAAATATATAATGGAGGCCGGGCGCGGTGGCTCAAGCCTGTAATCCCAGCACTTTGGGAGGCCGAGACGGGCGGATCACGAGGTCAGGAGATCGAGACCATCCTGGCTAATACGGTGAAACCCCGTCTCTACTAAAAAATACAAAAATCTAGCTGGGCGAGGTGGCGGGCGCCTGTAGTCCCAGCTACTTGGGAGGCTGAGGCAGGAGAATAGCATAAACCCGGGAGGCGGAGCCTGCAGTGAGCTGAGATCTGGCCACTGCACTCCAGCCTGGGCGACAGAGTGAGACTCCATCTAAAAAAAAAGAAAAAGAAAATATATAATGGAGACTTTGGGAGACTGAGGCAGGCGAATTGCATAAGGCCAGGAGTTCCAGACCAGCCTGGGCAACAAGGTGAAACCCCATCTCTACTAAAATTACAAAAATTAGCCAGGTATGGTGGTGTACACCTGTAATCCCAGCTACTCGGGAGGCTGGGGCAGGAGAATTACTTGAACCCAGGAGACAGAGGTTGCAGTGAGCCAAGACTGCGCCACTGCACTCCAGCCTGGGCGACAGAGTGAGACTGTCTCAGAAAAAAAGAAGAAAATATATAATGAGGGATGGTATTCATCTGGGAGTTTAGGCCTCATGTTTCTTTGAGAAGGTGACATTTGAGCTGAGATTTAAAGTGGAAGCTAACAGTGAGGTAACAGAGGAAAAGCATTTTTGGCAAAGGGAATAGTATGTGGTAAAAAAAAACAACAACAACAAAAAAAAAAACACAGCATTTGTAGACCAGGCACGGTGGCTCACGCCTGTAATCCGAGCACTTTGGGAGGCCGGGGCGGGCGGGTCACAAGGTCAGGAGATCAAGACCATCCTGGCTGACACGGTGAAACCCTGTCTCTAAAAAAAAAAAAATACAAAAATTAGCCGGGCATGGTGGCGGGTGCTGTAGTCCCAGCTACTCTGGAGGCTGAGGCAGGAGAATGGCATGAACCTGGGAGGCAGAGCTTGCAGTGAGCCAAGATCTGAGATCATGCCATTGCACTCCAGCTCTGTCACACTCCAGCCTGGGTAACAGAGCAAGACTCCATCTCAAAAAAAACAAAAAGCATTTGAGGAAATGAGAGAGTGTCAGTATAGCTAAAGCATGGTAAGCAAAGCAAAGAGGCATGAGATAAGGTTAGAGACATAGATAGGCAGGGGTCTGATATCAGAAGCTAATCAGGATCGACCTGCTTAGTACTTGGATGGGAAACAGGCAGGGACTAAATCAAGTAAGACCTTATAGAGCATTTGTTCTTTATGCTAAGAGCAAAGGAAAACCACTAAAGGATTTTTTAGGAAATGACATGATCTAATTTATACTTTTAAAAGATTTTTTGTCTACAGAAAGGATGGGAGAATGGGGCAAAGGTAAATGTTGACAGACTGGTGGGAAATGAAACAGAGGGTAAAGGAGACAAGTATTAAGAATGACATTTGTGTGTCTGACTTGCACATGTGGGAGAATGGTGATATCATTGGCCATGAAAGAGAGTATTGGAGGAGAAAGACTATAAGCTTCTTTCTGAACATGTTGAGTTTCAGATCATTTCATCCTTTACTTGAATTTCTTATAACTCTTCAGCCCCCTAAGCAACTCTGATCTAGAGGCAGCTACAGATGCCTTTGGAATGAAAGACACCTGCTCTCATGTTTGGTCATTTGCTGTCATACAGTCATACAGTCTAAGTGTTCAATTATTTGTTTGGCAGGAAAAGGTAAAAGGCGCAGATCATCTGATGAAGATGCTGCTGGGGAACCCAAGGCCAAGAGACCAAAACATACTACAGATAACAAGGAGGTAATGGGGCTTCTTGATTAGAAGTCCTCACCCTGAAGCAGGCCAGAAAGAGCACTCAGATAACAAGCCCCAAGAGAGCTTAAAGCTTCCTGAGCTAAGAAGCAGTAGGATTATGAACCTCATTAAATATTAGAAACAGAATGAACCATTCTATTCATTCACAAAGAATGAACCATTACTGTCTCCCTTCTGAGCCTTACTTCTTTCATTGAACAGAGATAACAGCTTATGTAAAAAGGGGCCTAGAAAAAGTTTAGATTGCTCAATATGGCAAGAACCTAAAAACAGTGGTGAAAAATGGGTCTAAAAACTATACATAGGCCTGAACTCATATTCAGTGCCTTCTTAGCATGCCTATAAAGATGTCAGTAAGCATCTCAAACTTAGTGTGGCCAAAACAGAATAATTGATGCCTCCTCTTAGTAAAAGACACTACCACCTAGGCCAGCCACCTAGGACACCACCGTTTCTGCTTAGGCCAAAATCCTTGGAACCCTCTAATCTCACAGTAAAACATATCAGCCCAGTTTCCAAAATTACCTCAAATCCAACCATTTCTCATCTTTTAACTGCCGTCTCTCATCAACTCTTTCCTAACCCTTTCGTTAATGGTCTCCCTAGCTGCATTCTTACCTACTTAGTAGCCAAAATGACTTTCTAAGTTCAAAACAAAACAGTACATCCACTGATTAGACTCCTTTAATAGCTTTCCTTTACTCTTAGAAGAAATCCAAGATACGGGCTAGGAAGCCTTACATGATCTAGGTCTTCATATGATCTGTTGGAGACAGGGCTCTTCAACCTCACCTCTGCCCCATCTCCGTCTTGCTCACTGTGTTCCCCCTACTGACTTTCTATCTCTTAAACATGTCAAACTCTTTCTAGTCTTTAGACTTTGGCCCTTATCATGCCTGTGGCTTCAAATGTTTGTCCCCAGATCTTCATGTAGTGGTCTCTGTTTTTATCATTTCTGTCTTAAATGCTCTTTTCATAGACTTCAAGCACCATTGTCCTCTCCTACACTAGTCCCTACCACATTTCTCATTTCATATACTTCACAGCATTTATATTTATAACTGGAATTATTTATTATTTGTGTACATGTTTGTCTAAGAGGTGTGGACTTTATCCTGAAGATAAGGGAGAGCCATTGATGGATTTTAAGCAGAGAAATGAAGTAACTGGATTTATATGTTAGAAAGATTATTATAGCATAGCAGTTCCTAACCTGTACTACTCCATGGATGGATTTCAGAGAGTCTGCTTGTACTTATGTGCATTTTTCAGTGAAGCTCTCCATACCATTCATTACATTCTTCAAAGGAACTGTGACCCAAAACAGTTAAAAAAAAAAAAAAAAAAGCACTACTCTAAGAAATGGGAAGAATGATGCAAAACAAAATTAGAAGGAGAAAACCCAGTTATTCCTTTTATAGTGTCTGCTATGTTTTAAAGGGGAAAAAAAAGAAAAAAGAAAAACTAGTTAGGAGGTTATTGTAGTAATCCAGATGGGCCAAGATTTAGAGTCTGAAATAAGGTAATGATAGGAGAGAGAAAAGTAGACATCTGATAACTATGAAGAATAGATAGAACTTGGTAATGGGATGGTAGATTATGGACAGCAAGGGACTAGGGGTGATACCCAAGTTTGTAGCTTAAGAAATTGGGTTGGCCAGCCAAACACGGTGACTCACGTCTGTAATCCCAGCACTTTGGGAGGCCGAGGCAGGTGGATCACCTGAGGTCAGAGTTCAAGACCAGCCTGGTCAACATGGTGAAACCCCGTCTCTACTAAAAATACAAAAATTAGCCGGCCATGGTGGTGGGTGCCTGTAATCACAGCTACTTGGGAGGCTGCAGCAGGATAATGGCCTGAACCGGGGAGGCAGAGGTTGCAGTGAACCAAGATTGCGCCACTGAACTCCATCCTGGGTGACAGAGCGAGACTCTATCTCCAAAAAAAAAAAAGAGAGAGAGAGAAAGAAAGAAATTGGGTTGTCTAGGCACAGTGGCTCTCGCCTGTAATCCCAGCATTTTGGGAGGCTGACACAGAAGAATCACTTGAGCCCAGGAGTTTGAGACCAGCCTGGACAACATAGACCCTATCTCTACCAAAAAAAAAAAATCCACCAGACCTGGTGGCACATGCTTGTAGTCCCAGCTACTCAGGGGCTGAGGTGGGAGGATCACTTGAGCCTAGGAAGTCAAGGCTGCAGTGAGCCACAATTGTGCCACTGCACTACAGCTTGGGCAACAGAGCAAGACCCTGTCTCAAAAAAAAAAAAAAAAGAAAAGAAAAAAACTGGGATGGTTATAGTGCAGTTACCTGAAAACTTACAAAACAGAACAGTTTGGAGAACAAGTGAAAGTGTCAAATAGGCAGCTGAGTCTATGCATCTGAAGCCTAATAGAGGGTTCTAGGATAGGCCGGGTGCGGTGGCTCATGCCTGTAATCCTAGCACTTTGGGAGGCCGAGGCGGGTGATCACCTGAGGTGAGGAATTCGAGACCAGCCTAGCCAACATGGCGAAACCCCATCTCTACTAAAAATACAAAAACTAGCCAGGCATGGTGGCACAGGCCTGTAATCCCAGCCACTCAGGAAGCTGAGGCAGGAGAATCGCTTGAACCTGGAGGGTGGAGGTTGCAGTGAGCCGAGGTTGTGCCACTTCACTCCAGCCTGGGCGAAAGAGCAAAACTCCGTCTCAAAAAAAGAGAGGGTTCTAGGATAGAGTGACATATTTGGAAATGCACCAATAGTTGAAGCCTGGAGAGCAGATAAAATTACCCAAGTAGAGCATGTAGAATAAAAAGAAAGGAAAGGTATGGACAGAACCCTGACAAAACACCAGTATTATAGGTGGGATCTGAAAGAGGAGTCGATGGAGACTGAGGAAAGGTGGCCAGAAAGGTTCAAAGTAGCACCAAGAAAAAATAGTGTCAGCCAGGCCCAGTGGCTCACACCTATAATCCTAACACTTTGGAAGGGCAAGGCTGGCGGATCACTTGAGCCTAGGAGTTTGAGACCATCCTGAGCAACATGGTGAGACCCTGTCTCTACAAAAAATACAAAAATTACCCAAGCGTGGTGGCACACACCTGTGGTCCCAGCTACTTGGGAGGCTGAGGTGAGAGGATCACCTGAGCCCAAGGAGGTCAAGGCTGCAGTGAGCTACGATCACACCACTGCTCCCCAGCCTGGGTGACAAAGACCCTGTCTTTAAAAAGAAAAAAAAAAATGGTGTCATAAAATCCAAGGAGCCACATAAAGTTTTAAGAAGGAAAAAATGTCCAACCATGTCATATGCTTCCAAAAGGTTAAATAAGATCAGAAGTGGAAAGTATTATTTGAACTTAACAACATAGAGTCCTCAGGGACAATTGTGGAATTTCACTGGAATGCAAGTGACAATTGACATTTCAGTACAATGGTGGAAATGGGTTAAGTAAATCTAGATAGAGATAACAGCTGGGATGGCCAACTGTTTGAGAAGCTTGGCTGTGACAGTAAGGAAAAGAAGAGAAGGCATAGGGTTGAAGGAGAATTCTAGAGTAAAAGAGATTTGGACAGGGTAAAGGCTGATAAGAAGGCGGTAGAGAAGGAAAGGCTGAAGATGTTAGAGGACAGGGTAAAATAGAGCTGGATCCCCAAGAATGAATGAGAGAGTAAGATCTGGAATACCAATATGGGCATTAACCTTAGGTAAAAGGAACATTTTTCAGCTGTGATAAAAGTAAGTGAAAATATGAGTTAAGAACAAAAAGGAAAGAAATGTGGTGAGGATGTGCACAGAGCTGAGTAAGTTCTGGCTTAGTGGCTTCTATTTTCTCTGTGAAATCAGAGGCAAAGTCATCTGCCAAGAGTGAGAAGGAAGAAGGGTCAGGTTGGAGACTTGAGGGTAATGGAGAAGAGTTAAAATAGGGAGAGAAAGGGCGGTCATGGTGGCTCACGCCTGTAATCCCAGCACTTCGGGAGTCCGAGGCAGGCAGATCACCTAGGGTCAGGAGTTCGAGACCAGCCTAGCCAACACTGTAAAACCCCAACTCCACTAAAAATACAAAAATTAGCCTAGCTCAGTGGTGGTTGCCTGTAATCCCAGCTACTCGGTAGGCTGAGGCAGGAGAATCGCTTGAACCCGAGAGGCAGAGGTTCCAGTGAGCCGAGATCACGCCACTGCACTCCAGTCTGGGTGACAAGAGCAAAACTCCATCTCAAAAAAAAAGTAAAATAATAAAATAGGGAGAGAAAGATTGGAGATGAGCTTAGAGAACCTGTTTGAAGTTGGGATTTGTCTAGACACCAATCTACATGACTGAATGATTTTTCTCCAACCAATTTAGTTGTTACTGTGTAGGAAAAGAAATGGTGAACCATTAAATCCAAGCTCCTCACCAGAAAACTTTACATTATATCTAAATGTTTCTCTCTAAATCTTTTCTCTTCCTCAGCCCATTCCAGATGACGGGATTTATTGGCAGGTCAACCTTGACAGATTCCACCAACACTTCCGTGACCAAGCCATTGTGAGTGCAGTCGCTAACAGGATGGACCAGGTAATACCTAAGTGGGTCTGTCATTGGTCATCAGGGACATTTACTTATTTGTCAGATCTGGCCATTGGCACAGAGAGCCGGTGGCAGCACTGTGATTTCTGAATTCTAGTTTACTTTTCAAACAGACGAGCAGCGAGATTGTACGAACCATGCTCCGAATGAGTGAGATTACCACTTCCTCTAGTGCTCCCTTCACCCAACCATTGTCTTCCAATGAGGTGAGTTTTGTGTTCTTGCGCTAACTTTCTGACAGATTCTTGGGTATTAACAACGTTTATTATACACAGATCCTGGGTTTGGGTTGAGGTCTGAGCCTTGATAGAGAAGGGTGTGTGTTTGATGTGGAGCAGGGATTATCTTCAAGTGGTGAGCACTGAAATGTTTGGTCTCTTAGGATCCAGCTTTTAAAAATCTACACTATTCACTTAGTCAAAGTATCTGTTTGTCAAGTACAGCCTATTCCTAATTATTTTAAGAATCCACGATTTGGACTCTGAGAGCCTTGGCATTCAGGATATTATTTGACCCCTTGTATTTAAAATACTGATATCTAATATATCCAATATGTGTTATTTATATTACTTTTGTAGTAATACAGTCATGCACCACTTAACAACAGGATACATTCTGAGAAATGTGTCATCAGGCGATTTCATCATTGTGTGAACATCGTAGGGTGTACTTACATGAACCTAGACGGTGTAGCCTACAGCACACCTAGACCATACGGGATAGCCTATGGCTTCTAGGCTGTAAACCTGTACAGCATGTTACTGTACTGAATACTGTAGGCTGTTGTAATGCAGTGGCATCTGTGTATCTAAACATCTAAACCACAGAAAAGGTACAGTAAAAATATGGTATGAAAAATTAAAAACTACACCTTTTTAGTGCACTTAACATGAATGGAGCTTTCAGGACTAAAAGTTGCCCTGCGGGAGTCAGTGAATGAATGGCAAATGTGAATGTGAAGGTCTACATACTTAGGCTACACTGTATTTATTAAAAACAGTAACACGCTGGGCAGGGTGGCTCACGCCTGTAATCCTAGCACTTTGGGAGGCCAAGGCTGGTGGATTGCTTGAGCTCAGGAGTTCGAGACCAGCCTGGGCAACATGGTGAAACCCGTATACTAAAATACAAAAGAAAAAAAAAATTAGCCAGGCATGGTGGCGTGCACCTGTGGTCCCAGCTGCTCGGGAGGCTGAGGCAGGAGTATCACTTGAACCCAGGAGGCAGAGGTTGCAGTGAGCCAAGATCATGCCACTGCACTCCAGCCTCACCACAAACGTGAGTAATGTGTTTCACGGCGGCACTGTGCTATGATGTTACAACAGCAAGAAATCACAAAACAGTAGGAATTTTTCAGCTCCAGTATAATCTTATGGGACCACAGCTGCACACGGTCCATTGTTGACTAAAATGTTATGTGGTGCATGACTATATTTACTTAAATATTCCTACATTTTTATATTGTTTATTTTAAAGTTCTACAGCCAGGTGCAATAACTCACACTTGTAATCCTAGAACTTTGGGAGGTTGAGGCAGAAGGATCCCTTGAGACCAGGAGTTCAAGACCAACCTGGGCAACATGGCAAGACCCCCATCTCTACAAAAAATGTTTTAAAAAAATTAGTTGGGTGTGGTGCCACATGCCTATAGTCACAGCTACTCGAGAGGCTGAGGCAGGAGGATTGCTTGAGCCCAGGAGTTTGAGGTTGCAGTGAACTGTGATCATGCCACTGCACTACAGCTTAAACAACAGAGCAAAACCCTATTTCAAAAAAAAAAAAAAAGGCCGGATGCAGCGCCTCACACGTATAATTCCAGCACTTTGGGAGGCTGAGATGGGCAGATCACCTGAGGAGTTCAAGACCAGCGTAGTCCAACATGGTGAAACTTCATCTCTACTAAAAATACAGAAATTAGCCAGGCATGGTGGTGGGCGCCTGTAGTCCCAGCTACTTGGGAGGCTGAGGCTGGAGAATCGCTTGAACCCAGGAGTGGGAGGTTGCAGAGAGCTGAGATCGCACCACTGCATTCCAGCTTGGGAGACAGAGTGAGACTCTGTCTCAAAAAAAAAAAAAAAAAGGTTTGGTATGTATCTTTATTCAGACCTTGCATACTCTAACATATGTGTGGGTGTATGTATTTTTTAACCCCAAAATGGGACTATTCATGCTGGCTTGGCTTTTTTTTTTTTTTTTTTTTTTTTTTCATTTTTTTGTGACAGAGTCTCACTCTTTCACCCAGGCCAGAGTGCAATAGCATGATCTCAGCTCACTGCAACCTCCGGCTCCTGGGTTCAAGGCATTCTCCTGCTCATCCTCCGAAGTAGCTGGGATCACAGGCCCATGTCACCACACCAGGCTAAATTTTGTATTTTTAGTAGAGACAGGGTTTCACTATGTTGGCCAGGCTGGTCTTGAACTCCTGACCTCAAGTGATCCGCCCACCTTGGCCTCTCAAAGTGCTGGGGTTACAAAGGCGTGATCTACCACACCCGACCTATTCATATTGTTCTATAACTTGTTTTTTTATATGACAGTGTATGTAAAACTTTTCATGTCAGTTTCTATAGATTTGTCTCACTCTTCATAATGACTGTATCATATTCCACTTAATGGCCATGCTATATTTTAGTGTACTCCTCAGTACTGGTCATTTGGGTGTTTCTAGTTTTTTACTCTTACAAACAATCCTGCTATGAATATTTTTGGACAGTTTTGTGATAAAACTAAAATTGAAACATTTTTTTTTTTTGAGACGGAGTTTCGCCCTTGTAGCCCAGGCTGGAGTGCAATGGCACAATCTCGGCTCACTGCAACCTCTGCCTTCCAGGTTCAAGCGATTATCCTGCCTCAGCCTCCCAAATAGCTGGGATTACCGGCATGCGCCACCATGTCCAGTTAATTCTGTATTTTTACTAGAGACGGGGTTTCACCATGTTGGTCAGGCTGTCCAACTCTTGACCCAAAGTGATCCACCTGCCGCAGCCTCCCAAAGTGCTGGTATTATAGGCGTTAGCCACTGCGCCCAGCCTAAAACATCTTTATTTCAGTAAAGTTAGGAGTTCTAAGTTCCCAAACCCATTTTAAGTGTCTTTTGCTCCATAGATCTTCAGATCCCTACCTGTTGGCTATAACATCTCTAAGCAAGTTCTTGATCAGTATCTCACTCTGCTGGCAGATGATCCGGTAAGTCTATTTTTGCTTTTTTTCTTTTTTCTTTAGTCTGTACTGTTGATAATTTACTTCTGCACTGATACCTAGTATCATTCTCCTGTAGAGTTATTCTCTACCTAGCCAACCCAGACAATTTCTCCACATCATTTGATGGGAGGGCTACCTGCTGCAGACTTTTGGTCAGATTTGTTCCATTGGAAACAGAATCACTGGACTTCCCATTCAGTTAACACTCTCTCTTTTTCTTAATAGCTAGAGTTTGTTGGAAAGTCTGGCGACAGTGGTGGAGGAATGTATGTCATCAGTATCCTTACCAGTTATTTCCTTAGAGTCAGGCAGCCTGACCTATAAATCAGAATGGTGCTTTAGGAAAGGAAGATTTGATAATGTTTATTACACTACATAAGTTAGAAAATTGAAATAATTGTTAAATAAATTTTTCTATGAATTTCCAGTGAACTGCATTGATGATAAAGAAGTAAAAAGAAGCCAGGCATGGTGGCTCACACCTGTAATCCTAGGACTTTGGGAGGCTGAGGCAGGTGAATTGCATGAACCCAGGAGTTCAAGATCAGCTAAGCAACATGGCAAAACCCCATCTCTACAAAAAATACAAAAACTAGCCAGATGTAATGATGCATGCTTGTAGTCCAGCTCCTCAGGAGGCTGAAGTGGGAGGATCGCTTGAGCCCAGGAGACAGGGGTTGCAGTAAGCTGAGATGAAGCCACTGTACTCCAACCTGGGTGACAGAGTGAGACCCTGTCTCAAAAAAAAGAAGTAAAAAGGACTTTTAATCAGCCAAATTGTAGTTAAGCAAAACCCTTACTTAAACACTTGTATTAAAGTTTTGGAATATTTATGTACCATAACTGAAACCATAAATTATAACATGAAAAGCAAAATAGCTTTAAAATAGAAACTTAGGAGTAAAACTCAGATCATAATAACTAGGCCAAAACATTACTGAGTGACCTTAATTCTCTACATAAAGACCTCCATAAGGCATTAGCATCCCTAGCCACAGCCACTCTGGAGTCTGTCGTACAGGAGAGGTAAGGGGGACACTGGCTTTGGGTCACATACTTCCTATCCCCAATGAAGTAATTTGATCATTATGTAAGCAACCAATATAACCACACCCTGGCACACTTTGCCCCATTTTTTCACTGGACTCCTATGGATCGCATTAATACTGCTCTTTACCCTAAAATAACCTACTGTTTAATTCCAGTTAACCAGCCTCCCTAAAGCCTTTGCTTACAAATGTAGGAACTGTGGCACTCAAATGAGTCAGCAGTTGGTGACTGCCTTATGATTAACATCAGTTGGTGATGCCTTACCATCACCAGCCTGTGGAGCTGTAGAATAATTTTCTGATCACTGTTCCTTTCTGGTCCTGGCTCGACACATGGAATAGAAGCCCCCCCCCCCCCCAATCTATGACTGGGAACTAAAGCTAATCTTCTATGTTAGCATGCCATTTGCTTTCTTCATTCCTTTCCAGATTTGGGTCTCGCTGTGCTAGAATATTCCGTCTAGTTTTGCAGAAGAAACACCTAGAGCAGAAGCAAGTGGAAGACTTTGCAATGATTCCTGCCAAGGAGGCAAAGGATATGCTATATAAGATGCTCTCAGAAAATTTCATGTCACTCCAGGTAACCAACCAAGGGTGTAATAATTGCCAACCAGCAATGCTGGCCTAGGGTGAGAGAAACTTCTTAGGGAAACATACTGAACCCCCAAGCAAACTCTATATCCAACTCTGAGACAGAAAAACATGATTCACAAGCACTTGGAGGATAATGTGGGGCCTTAACTGCCCTAGTAAGAAAGAGGCAGCCGGGCACAGTGACTCACACCTGTAATCCCAGCACTTTGGGAGGCCAAGGTGGGCAGATCACTTGAGGTCAGGAGTTTGAGACCAGCCTGGCCAACATGGTGTAACTCCGTCTCTACTAAAATACAAAACCATTAGCTAGGCCTGGTGGCACGCGCCTATAATCCCAGCTACTTGGGAGGCTGAGGCAGGAAGGAGAATCTCTTGAACCCGAGAGGGGGAGGTTGCAGTGAGCCGAGATCAAGCCACTGCACTCCAGCCTGAGCGACAGAGTGAGACTCTGTCTCAAAAAAAAAAAAAAAAAAAAGAGGCACAGCCAGGACATCACCCCAAACCCATCCTGTCTTTTTTCTCTTCTATTTCTGTCCTTCCTTAAGCCTTAATTCTGTAATAGTTTAAATTTATCAACACATCTGAGTCTGCAGGGCTATGTAGTAGACCCTATGAGTAAATAGAATGGATTTTGGAGTCAGATTAGAGCTCTGCCTTACCGAGTTACATTAAGCAAGTTACATTTTTCCCATCTATAAAACAGTGATGAATGGTGATAATAAAAATAATATGGTTGCCAGGCGCGGTGGCTTATGCCTGTAATCCCAGCACTTTGGGAGGCCTCGGCGGACAGATCACTTGAGGTCAGGAGTTCGAGACCAGCCTAGCCAACCTGGTGAAACCCTGTCTCTACTAAAAATACAAAAATTAGCTGGGTGTAGTGGCGTGTGTCTGTAATCCCAGCTACTCAGGAGACAGGAAGGAGAATTGCTTGAACCCGGGAGGCAGAGGTTACAGTGAGCCGAGATTGCACCACTGCATTCCAGCCTGGGCAAAAGAGCAAGACTCCGTCTCAAAAATAATAATAATATGGTTTTCTGTGAAGATCAAATAGAATTTACCTGGCACATAGAGTTGCTCAGTAAATGTTAGTTGCCTTCCCTTTCTTCCCCAGCTCAGGATGCTGACAGTCATATAAAAAAACAGGGAAGCCCAGCTCTCCGTTTGACTAAGTATGACATAAACCACAGAGACTGGGTCGAGCACAACTGTAATCTCAGCACTTTGGGAAGCCAAGGCAGGATGCTCATTTGAGCCCAGGAATTCAAGACCAGCCTGGGCAATATAGTGAGACCATGTCTCCCCCACCCCCAAAAAAGTAAAAAATTAGCCGAGCATGGTGGTGCATGCCTGTAGTTCTGGCTACTCAGGAGGCTGAGGTGGGAGGATTGCTTGAGCCGGAGGTAGAAGTTGCAGTGAGCCAATATCATGCCACCGCACTCCATCCTAGGTAACAGAGCAAGACCCAGTCTCTAAATAAATAAATAAATAAACACTGGTACTGAATGACTAGGAAACAGGAAAGTGTAAGTAAAAAAGAGGGCTGAGTAACTCCAGGTGGAATTAGTGTGTACTTTGCCAGTTCTAAAACAGTATAATTTCTGTTATTTTTCTTTCTATTGGACAAATAGGAAATTCCCAAAACACCAGACCATGCCCCATCCAGGACCTTCTATTTATATACTGTGAACATCCTGTCAGCTGCCCGAATGTTGTTGCACAGGTGCTATAAGGTAACTCCACACGGACAAGTCCCCCTCATATGCCCACTTCGCCCTGAGCTGCTGAAATAGAACTATGTACATTCCTTGGTCTGTCTTCTCTTTCCTCAGAGCATAGCCAACTTGATAGAAAGGAGGCAATTTGAAACCAAAGAGAATAAGTAAGTAACATTTTCAGTTGAGTTATTTACATTTTTCAAAGTCAAGGGCCTAAGGGGGAAATTTCCTCTAGAAATAGGAACTAACAGATGCTGGGCCTGGCAGGGTGGCTCATGCCTGTAATCCCAGCACTTTGGGAGGCTGAGGCAGGTGGATCAGTTGAAGTCAGGAGTTCGAGACCAACCTGGCCAACATGGTGAAACCCTGTCTTCACTAAAAATACAAAAATTAGCTGGGCGTGGTGGCGGGCACCTATAGTCCCAGCTACTTGGGAGGCTAAGGCAGGAGAATCACTTAAACCCAGTGAGTGGAACTTGCAGTGAGCCAAGATCATGCCACTGCACTCCAGCCTGGGCAACAGAGTGACACTCCATCTCAAAAAAAAATTTTTTTTTGAGAAATAGGAACCAATAGAGAGAGCAACCAGTCTACTTGCATTGAATCATTGGCTTAGATTAGTATAAATCATGCATTAGTCTACACTTTTCTAACATGCTCCCAGTGAAGTAATTTTTCAGATTAAATTTATGAGAAACGTACAAACGCACCAAACTTTAAGTGCAAATGAGAGGCAGTAAGAATTTCAGGATTAAAGTTATATTTCCCAGTAAGTTTGTAGAAAATGTCCTTAGAAGGTAACATTATCTACTTTGACCAGGAAAATGGTAAAAGGGTGGTGGGCTGTGCCTCAGACATACGTGGTAAGAGAATCTCCCAGGTTAGGGAACATGTTTCAGAGTTGTGTTTGTTTGACAGGCGTCTACTAGAAAAATCTCAGAGGGTAGAAGCCATCATTGCATCTATGCAGGCTACAGGTGCAGAGGAAGCACAGTTACAAGAAATAGAGGAGATGATCACAGCTCCTGAACGTCAGCAGCTAGAGACCCTGAAACGTAATGTCAACAAGTAAGCATCACAAACTTCAGACCTACATTTCAAAATACTATCCAGAAAATCCATTTTGACATCTGTAATCCTCCAACTTAGCATGAGCAAACCTAAACTCACTGTCTTCTCCAGCTAACTGAACAGAATTTAATCCACCTATTTTTGTAAACTAGCAGTTCTGAAGATGTTCTCAGCTTCTTCTCCATCACCATATACACTCTCTTATTCATCAAGTACTAGTAAATTTTTTTTAAGAGGGGATTTTGGCTGTGTTGCCCAGATTGGCCTTGAACGCCTAGGTTCAAACAATCTTCCTGCTCAGCCTCCCAAGTAGCTGGGACTACAGACAAGTGCCACTGCACTGGCTTACTTTTACTTCAGTAATGCGTCTCAAATCTGGCCTTTCTAAGTATTTTTTTGGATGCTAGGTTAGTGGTTGCTTATTTCATTTTTGGATTGTTCATTGCTAGTGTTATACAAAAACAACCAACTTTTGTGTTGTGATTTTGTATCCCACAACAATTAAGACTACCCTCCCCCAGGACAGAGGCTCAGTATTTTGCATTCTTAGCAGTTTCCATGGTGTCTGGCACATAAAAGATGCTTGGTAAATGGCAGAATGGTCTACTGGTTCTCCTGCCTTCTTGCCATCCACTCTAAGGGGTAACCAAGCAGTTACCCATGGCCACACCACCCTAGCCTCTAATCTTAAATGTGCTAATGAACATTCAGTCTAGGCAAATAAATGCTTTTACTTTTTCACTCAGGTTGGATGCCAGTGAGATCCAGGTGGACGAAACCATCTTCCTGCTGGAGTCTTACATTGAGTGCACCATGAAGAGACAGTGATCCAGAAGCATCTTCCTCAAAAGATCTGGGGGGGTGGGGGGGATGGAAAGCAAAATAAAGGAAGTACCTGGATGCATTATTTGCAGTGGGATAAGTTGCAGATTCTTCAACTAAACCCCCCTGTCTATCCCCTGCAGCCCAGGATACACCTAAAAGAATTTGGCATATTTAGATCCATTGCTATAATCTCCCCTCATCAAATCTTGGCACTGGGTAGAACCTTAAATCAACAGGATTAATCATCCATCAGATGTATCTGTATCCATAAAGAAGTTACCCACACCTATGGTTACCTACATCTCTGGCAGTAGGAAACTTCTTCCTAAGAAGTTAATTTTATTTTCAAATGTCTATGCCTGTTCTTTATTTTGTTGAGATAGATAGATAAGATAAGATAGATAAGACAGAAAATTTGTTGTTGAGACAGGATCTCACTCTGTCACCCAGACTGGGGTATAATAGTGCAATCACAGCTCCCTGCAACCTTGACCTCCTGAGCTCAAGCATCCTTGCACGTCAGCCTCTAGAGCAGCTGGGACTACAGGCATGCACCACACATACCTGGCTAATGTTTTCTTTTTTTTTTTTTTTTTTTTTTGTAGAGACGGAGCCTCCCTGTGTTTCCCAGGCTGATGAACTAATTTCTAACACACACATAGTGTAGGGAATGTGAAAGACTATCACAGAGTAGAAGAAAAAGTTATTTTGAGGGTTAGCAGGTAGATTGTCCCAAGCAGTCACACTGGAATCTGTGGACTGAAGCCACATTTGCCAGCTCCAGGCTTCTAACGCATCTGAAACTACGTAGAACAGCTAGCCCAATGCCTGGCATATGATAAGCATACAGTAAATGAGTACCTTCCTCTTCTCCATGGTTCCTTAAAACTGGCAATGCTAAATTGTCTCTCTCAGTATCATGGATATAATTTGTCCCAGCAGCTTTAATTCATTTAAAGCAGTTAAATGTTGTTTTATAATATCTTCAGTTTGGTCTCACCAATGTGTTTTCTAATTCTTTAAACACTTGAGTGCCAAACAATTGCCAGCCACCATACTAAACACAACATACAAAGATAAGTAAGACACCATCCCTACCTTCAGACCAGTCACCATCATTTACTAAGCACCTGTTTTGTGCTAAGTACTGGGGTAAGCCTTGGAGATATAAAGATTAATAAATTTTGAGCATACAGTCTAGTAGGAGGAGACAAATAAGTACATAAGTACCAGGAAGTACTGGAGGTGCTACAGTAGAAGAGTAACTCCGTATGGAGAGGCCAGAAAGGGAAAAGGGTCAGGCAGGAAAGGGAACACAGAGAAAGTGACAATGTATAGTTTGAAAGATGAGGATGTTTTATTTGCAAACTATCTTAACAAGGGATTAATAACCAGAATACACAAGGAGCTCAAGCAATAGCAAAAAGAACAAATAATCCAACTTAAAAATAGCCAAAAGATCTGAATAGGTAGTTTTCAAAAGAAGATATACAAATGGACAACAGATATATCAAAAAATGTTCAACATCACTAATCAGAGAAATGGAAATCAAAATCACACAGATATGATCTCACCCCAATTAGTTACTTTTACCAAAAAGAAACAATGAATGCTAGTGAGGATGTGGAAAAAGGAAAGCCCTGCCTGGTACACTATTGGGAATGTACATTGGTACAGCCACCATGGAAGACTACAGAGGTTCCTCAAAAAACTAAAAATCTGTATGCTCCAGCAGTTCCACTACTGGGTATATATCTCTCTCTCTCTCCAAAAGGAAAGAAATCAATATATCAAAAAGATACCTGCACTCCCATGTTTATTGCAGCACTATTCATGATAGCCAAAACATGGAATCAACCTAAGTGCCCATCAATAGATGAAAGGCTAAAGAAAATGTATATATTATTCAGCCGGAAGAATGAATGAAATCCTGTCATTAGCAGCAACATGGATGGAATTAGAGGTCACTATGTTAAGTAAAATAAACCAAGCACAGAAACAAATATTGCATGTTCTCTCTCACATGGGAGCTAAAAAAGTGGATCTCAAGAAAATAGAGACTAGATTGGTATTACCAGAAGCTAGGAAGGATGGGGAGGATGAAGAGAGGTTGATTAGTGGGCACAGATAATACAGTTTGAAGAAATAAGACCTAGTGTTGGATAGATCAGCAGGGTAGCATAGTTATTAATTTACTGTACATTTCAAAACAGCTAAAAGAGAATAATTTTGATGGTGGCTCAATCCTATAATCCCAACACACTGGGAGGATCAGTTGAAGCCAGGAGTTCAAGAACAGCCTGGGCAATATAGTGAGATTTCATCTTTACAAAAAATTTAAAAATTAGCCAGGTGTGGTAGTGCGCACCTGTAATCCCAGCTACTCAGGAGTCTGAGGCAGGAGAATCGCTTGAACCAGGGAGGTGGAGGTTGCAGTGAGCCGAGATCGCGCCACTGCACTCTAGCCTGGGTGACAGAGCAAGACTCCCTCTCAAAAAAAGAAAAAAAGCCAGGCGTTGTGGTGGGCGCCCTGTAATCCCAGCTACTTGGGAAGCTAAAGCACGAGAATCGAGACTCGCTTCAACCTGGGAGATGGAGGTTGCAGTGAGCTGGGATCACGCCAGTGCACTCCAGTCTGGGTGGTGGTGCAAGACTCTCAAAACGAAACATCACTCTGGCAGCACTGTAGAGGATGAACTGGTAGGGGCAAGACTATTTGGAGACTTGCAATAATATTTCAGGCAAAATATGAGGAAGGCTTAAACTAGGGCAATGAATGAAGGCTGGAGAGAACATGGGTTTGAGGAAGTTTAAGGAGATAGCATCTGCATACTTGGTTGCCATTTGGGTGAAGTGAAAGAAGGAGAAGTGGTATCGAAAATGTTATCTGGCGTGTTTCGCTTGGAGATAATGAATTCAAAGTGATGCCTGCTGTAACAGGTGTGCACAGTGCTGTAGAGGGTGCTTACAGTTCAGCTTAGGGCTGGTAGGAAGTAACATGTGAGTCCTGAAGTCAGTCGGTCTGGGGGTCATTGTCCTAAACAGAGAAGATAGGAAGGAAATAGGAGCTGAGCATTTAGAGGTATTCTTTGTGGTTTAATATTGTACCCATGGGTCATCCTCAAAAGATGTGCCCGGATTTCCCGGGGACTTTCGGAAACCCCGCTACCTTCCGACCCCGCGGAACGCTCCCAGGGGAAGCGTCGCTAGGCCACCAGAGGGCGCCAGGCGGACCCAGCGACCTCAGAGTCGCGTTATGGCCGCGGCGCGGGTACAGCTGCTCCTGTCCGGGCGTCCGGAGTTGGTGAGCTTCGCACGGAGTGTGTGTGGCCTCCTGGGAGCCGGGCCAGGGCTCGGGCCGTGGCCCATTCACTGCAGCTTGAAGCGAGGACGGATTGTCCTCTCGAGTAGGCCCTTCCCAGGCGCCTCCGCTAGGCTTCCGCTCCAGGTCAGCAGAAAGGGGCCTCAGAGCGGGGGTGGGGGCAGTGAAGGGCCGAAGGCGGGGACTGACATCGGGTGGGAACTGGCGGCGAGGACCCCGCCTCCAACGCGCGGGGTAGCCCCATTTTTGAAAGTCACGCCCACCCAGTGCCGCCCCACTTCTGAAGCCTTAACCCAGCTGGCTTCCTTCTGCCAGCGACCCCCTTTCTGCCCTTTTGCGGCCCTGGACGAGCAGCCCAGGGTTCCTGGGGCTGAGCTGCCCACAGATCGAGGTGTGGACCTGGGTGTGGCCGTCATTCTGCAGTCCAGCGACAAGACTGTCTTGCTGACCAGAAGGGCACGCACCCTCAGCGTTTCCCCCAACCTCTGGGTACCCCCGGGTGAGTATTCTGGGGACGAGGCCCCACGTACAGAAAAGAAATTTGCCCTTTCCCCGCAACAGTGTTTTCCCCAGTCTCAAAAGGATAAAGTGGGCCCCAAAATGTGGCATCTTCAAAGCCACAAGTGACTGCAACTCCCGTGTCCACTGGAGGGGAGAGAAATGTCAACAGTGAGTGGGCGGTCCCTGGTCAAGACCACCACCATTCACCTGTTGGCCCCGCTGTTGTTGCAGGTGGGCACGTGGAACTTGAGGAGGAGGTAACCAGTCAGCTGATCCAACCTGAGCCAAGAGACTCATGCCTAGGACCACCTTGGGTGTGGGCTGAGGGAGGGGCAAGCAGGAGGACTCGGAGGAATCAGGCACTGGCCAATCTGATGTGTCCTCTCTGACTCCCAGCTGCTGGACGGAGGGCTTCGAGAACTTTGGGAAGAGTGTGGACTACACCTGCCCCAGGGCCAGTTCTCTTGGGTCCCTCTGGGTTTATGGGAGGTGAGACAAGGAGCTGGGAGAGGCCCCTTCATATTTAACCCACAGACCTCAACAACTACCCACCAAAGTCCATAGATCAGCCCCTACCTGCCTTGGCTACAAGGGAAACAATAGCACATAAGTGGGCTGGAGTCCCCAAATCCATAACCCTCACCCATGTCCCTGCTGTGTCATCTATACCATCCATGCCCTCAGCTTTTGGCCACCATTTTGTTTCACCCTAAAGCTGTATTAACAAAGTCTCAAAAAGTGACAGAAAGGGCCGGGTATGGTGGCTCATGCCTATAATCCCAGCACTTTGGGAGGCCAAGGTGGGCGGATCACGTGAGGTCAGAAGTTCGAGACCAGCCTGGACAACATGGCAAAACCGCGTCTCTACTAAAAATACAAAAATTAGCTGGGCGTGGTGGCAGGCACCTGTAATCCCAGCTACTCTGGAGGCTGAGGCTGGAGAATCGCTTGAACCCAAGAGGCAGAGGTTGCAGTGAGCCAAGATCGCGCCACTGCACGCCAGCCTGGGTGACAAGAGCGAAACTCCATCTGAAAAAAAAAAAAAGAAAAAAAGTGACAGAAAGTTCTCACTTTTGCTGTTTTCTTTTCCTAGTCTGCCTACCCTCCTAGGCTGAGCTGGGGTTTACCCAAGTACCATCACATTGTTCTGTATCTACTGGTGATCTCCCAGGAATCACAGCAGCAGCTGCAGGTAGGGCTGGCAGTGAGGGAAGAAAACAGGGCTCAGGGGAGCCCAAGCAACCTGGTTCTGCCTGTGATTGGAAGCTGGGCGGCAGGGGTGGGGGGAATGGGGCGGTGGTCAGAGATAACCATGAATGTGCAATACCCTTTCCCGTTGCGCCTGCCTTTCTCCTTGAAAAGTGCAGGTAGGTTTTGATCACAAACAGGCATCCCAGGGAGAGGCAATGACTGAGGGGACACCATGTCTGACCCCAGGCCCGGATCCAACCAAACCCAAGTGAGGTGAGCGCCCTTATGTGGCTGACACCAGATGTAGCTGCTGCAGTGGCTGCCACAGAGGATGGGACAGAGACACCCAGACTTCTCCCCCAGGACCTACCACCCTCTGTCCTGTAAGTAAGAGCTTCTCCCTCAGCCTCTAATACACCAGCATATTCATGTTGAGAAGTACAGCGTCTATCCTCTTCTCAGGATGGAATTTGGTGGTGTGGGGAGATTTAAAGAGAGTGGGTCAGGTGATCATTAAGAAGGTCCATGAGATCTAAGACACTGACCATCAAACCCCAAGGATTCGTGCTCTAACTGGCTAGCATTGAAGGTCTAAGTGTCAGTTCTAACAGAGCGGCAAGTCATTTAACCCTCCTTGAACCTGTTTCCTTTCTGCAAAAGAGATCAACACCCACCACCTCCTATGCTAGTTGGGAGGATTCGGGGACCTCACATACATGTAAGTTCTTTGTAAGCTACAAGGCACAGCCCCAACAGGAGTTGTCACTATGCAGTGCACTGGAACTAGAAGAGGATGGAAAAGCCCGACCTCTGGTCCTGCCCATGTCCACCCTGCTGCGGATGATCCCAACCATGGCAGAGGGCAAAGAGAGAGTCAGCACTGGAAGCAAGTTTGCCCTCAGGCTCTGGCTGCAACATCTGGGCAGGGAAAAGTGAAAAGGGACTGGAGAGCTCCACAGTACTGGGCTGGAATGGTCTAGTTTTTACAGGCATGGGGGAAAGGAAGGAAGGACAACCTCTCTGGGAATTCCTCCATGGAACACCCCCACCGTGTAAAAGTGCAGCTCACCTGGACCCAGGGCCAGCAAAGGAAGAATGGAACATGGACCCTCTTCCCCCAAACCAGGGGTCTGGAAAGTGAAGTGTAAAATCCCCTCCCTAGCCCACCTCCGTGACACTCACAGAACATTCACAACCTTTATTATGGGTGAGAGCTTCACTACAACTTTAGGAATAAAAAGTGAAATTACAACATAGGTCCCAGGCCTTGGAGGAGCCTGAAAAAGAGGATTGGGAAGGAGGGCACAGGGTCCTCCCACCTCCCTGGAAAGGTGCAGAATGAGCCAGGCCTAACCACAGGGCCATGAGCCTCTAGAAGCTTAGGGCGGAATAAGAAACACTGTGAACTTAAATATATAAATAGAGAGAGACCCAGGCAATAGGCCGGGCCTGACTCCCAAACCACTGGGGGATCATGGCTAAGGCCTTACATCCTCCTCTGTCATACTGGAGTAGGAGGCAGGGGAAGTCATCTTTGGAGTATTTTGGTTTTTCTTATTTATGTACAAAAAATTCCACATCCACAATCCAAAATAAAGTTCTCTGTCCATCTCTGAAACTGCCTGTCTCAGTTTTTCCACCTGTCTGTGGCCGAAGGGAAGGGAATGGAATGGACATGAAGAGACAATGGATGTGAAGAAGAAATAGAGCCATGGGTTTGGGGGATAAGAAGAGAGAGCATTTGGGGTTCAAGAGAGGTGCCCCTTTCCCAAGAGGCTCTAGACACAGTTGAGGCTGAGGGTTCAGCCCTTCTCCCAGCTCACATCCCATCCCATTTACCTTCCACTGCCTAGGTTAACATACCCAAAGGAATGTGCCACCATCTAAAGAACATTTCCAAAAACAAACCCCAATGTCCTTAAAAAGAGGTTAAATATTAACCCTTTGGGTGCTGGCCTTGTCAGGCAGAGATGAGGCCAAAAGTAGGCATCTGTGAAGGTCTGTCTGGCCTTGGCCAGAGCCAGCAGAGGGATCAGAGTAGCTGGGGTTGGGACTCCACAGCATACTTGCTCAGTGTTGGGGGACAGTGAAGTTTCCATACTCCAAGGAACTCAGTCCAGGGAAATGATGTCTGACCGACAGCCAGTCAAAGGAGGACCTGAGGGTAGGGGTCCTCCATGCCCCTCCCTCAAGGCTCCCCCAGGGGCCACAATGCTGCTGACACGGCCAGGAGGGGGCACCGGAGTGGCACTGCGGTGGGAGCTCCCCAACGTGGGGGCCAGTGGGCCCAGAAAGTGAGAAGGGGTCCCTCGGTACTGGAAGAAGTGGCCAAGGGCATCCTGTTCATCTAGTGAGGTGATGACGGAGGGGCCATAGTGCTAGGAATAATCAAGGACATAGTTTAAGATCTCATCCTGACTTCCCCACCTCCCAGTCACTCATCTCAGAAATGCCGTATGGGGGCAATCAACCCCTGTGGATCCCAAGGTATTCTCTGAGAAAAGGGAGAGCCTCTCCCTCTTTCCCCTACTTCCCCACACCCTTCCCCTTTCCCTGCCTTGAGAGCTCCTCCAACTTGCTAGGTTCTTGGCGTTGTGGGTGTCTGAAATGTGTGGAATGTCCGGTTAGGGCAGGCATGGTGCTCTAAGTGCACACGGGGGTGGGGGTGAGTAGGCTGGGGCAGAATAGTAACAGGGGATCTATGAAGGAGGCCTAAGTAGGAATCTCAGGAACTACCAGTGGGGCTGAGGAGGGTAATAAGCTACCTACACCCCACTGCCCTCACAGAAAAGCAGATTTACACCCCCAGAGATCATAAGAGAGGGAGGGGTCCCATCAGTGCCTAAAGGACACTTCAGAGATCTGAGACCTTCTGAAGAAAGAACCACTTACCTGACTCTCTGTCTGAAGAAATGAAAATAAATCTAAACCTGGCAAGAAAAGAAAAATCAAAATCAACCTCCTATCTGACCCCTTTACCACCAAAAGACAAAGCACTTTGGACTGTGGCCCCTTGCAGGAGAAGCAGGAAGCTTTGAGAAGGAACAGGGGTTCTGATGTAGCTCTGGGGAGGGTGTGGCAGTGCAGGGTCCATCTTATGATCCATGTCATACCTTGGATATCGGCTCCCAGTGGGAAGGCAGGTGGGTACTCATGTAGTGGGAGACTGGACAGGAAATCCCCACCCAACGCGCCCATGGCAGGGCTCCTTAGCACCGAGGATGGCTGGTGGCCAGACGTCAGGACTCTGTGGGTAGAGAAGAGCTGAGGCAGCCAGCAAACTACAGATGTCCTCACCCAGCTCAGGTCCCCAGGTTCCCTCTCTGTCCCCTCCACATTTCTCTTGCCCCAGGCTTTGTCCAATGATCAGAAAGCATTCCTGACTTCTTCCCCTGTCCCTTTTGCCGTAGATTCAGCCTATTTTCTCATACCCTTTGCTTCCAGGTAGGGCCGGGATGGCAGCTGAGGTGACAGAACAGTGCTTCTTGGTAGGGGGCAGATCCTCCTCATCTGATGAGCTTTCTATTGTCAAGTCAATAACTTCAACCTTCTTCTTATTCTCTGATGGATTTCCCTCCTGGACTGGGCTGTACTGGAGGCCTACAGATATTACGAAGACTATGTCTCAGAGAAGAGGCCATCCAAGATTTAGCTTAGCTGGGGAACAGGGGGTCACTCACCATCCAGCCCATACCCTGGCGGGGGGCAAACCTCAGATGCCTCCTTCTTGGGTTTCATTGGGCACCAGGATCCATCTTCCATGAATTGGATCTCATCACAATCTGAACAGGAACTAAGAATCTCCATAAATAAACTGGGGGAGGAGAGAGATGAAAATTCATGGGGCTGGGAGATGAGCGGAACAGTAGCCAGAGAGTTCTATAACTCGCCTTCCTGTACCTCAGTTTCCTCATCTGTAAAATAAGGACATTATCCATCCTACTGGACCTCTCTGAGTTGTTGGAATCAAGTAACAGAAGGTATGTAAAAGAGCTTTGCAAACTAAGTAACAGGTTTTAAAATAAATACAATCGGAGGCCGGGTGAAGTGGCTCACGCCTGTAATCCCAGCACTTTGGGAGGTAGAGACAGGTGAATCACTTGAGGCTTGGAGTTCAAGACCAGCCTGGCCAACATGGTGAAACCTCATCTCTACTAAAAATACAAAAATTAGCCAGGTGTGGTGGCACATGCCTATAATCCCAGCTACTTGGGAGGCTGAGGCACGAGAATCGCTTGAACCCGGGAGGCAGAGGTTGCAGTGAGGCTAGATCACGCCACTGTTCTCCACCTTGGGCAACAGAGCAAGGCTCTGCCTCAAAAAAAAAAAAAAAAAAAAAAAAAAAAGACAGGCCGGCACTGTGGCTCACACCTGTAATCACACTTTCAAAGGTCGAGGCGGGTGGATCACCTGAGGTCAGGAGTTCGAGACCAGCCTGGCCAACATGGTGAAACCTCATCTCTACCAAAAATACAAAATTAGCCGGATGTGGCAGCACATGCCTGTAATCCCACCTACTTGGGAGGCTGAGGCAGGAGAATTGCTTGAACCCGGAAGGCAGAGGTTGCAGTGAGTCGAAATCATAAGACTGTGCCATACCACTCCAGCCTAGGCCAGGCATGGTAGCTCATGCCTGCAATCCCAGCACTTTGGGAGGCCAAGGTGGGAGGATCACTTGGGGCCAGGAGGTCGAGGCTGCAGTCAGCTATGACTGTGCTACTATACTCCAGTCTGGGCAACAGAACAAGACCCTGTCTCAAAAACAGACAAATAAACAAACACAAAAAAAACGTCGGGGGGGACTGGGAACAAGAACCATAATGTAGATGCCAAAAAGGGGTTAAGACTAGCAAGATCAAAAGATCAGAACTTCCAGGCCCTCAAAAGAACCTTACTGCAATGCTCAGTGGGAAGTCAGATAGTTGTTATAGGTGATATACTATGACAGTTCAGTACCGGCTCTGCCACTTAACAATGTAACCTTGAGCAAGATTCAATCTCTCTCGGCCTCAGTTTCCTCATGTGTAACGATACTACCTATCTCATAGGGTTATTGTTTTCTTTTTTTTTTTTTTTCTGGGTGAGTGTCACTAGCCAATCATAGGATTATTTCTTTTTTTGAGACAGGGTCTCAATCTGTTGCCCAGGCTGGGGTGCAGTAATGCAGTCATAGCTCACTACAGCCTCAAACTCCTGGGTTCAAACCTTCCTCCCCACTCAGCCTCCTGAGCAGCTAAGACTACAGTCATGAGCTATTATACCATGCCTGGCTAACTTTCTTAATTTTTTATAGAGAGAGGGTCTTACTCTGTTGACCAGGCTGGTCTCAGACTCCTAGCCTCAAATGATCTTCCCATGTCGGCCTTCCAGTGTTGGAATTACAGATGTGAGCCACTGCACCCAGTCCATAGGCTTATTGTGAGGATTCAATGAGATAACTCATTAAAAGTACTCAGCAAGATGCCTTGTATACACTAAGTTCTTAATATTGCCCTCCCACTCCACATACACGCACATACACACACACACACAAATTGGCAAAAGGGATAGATAAGGTGAGAAGTGGGGTTCATGTGACTAGAAGTAAGCCACATAAATTAAAAACCCTGAAGGAGGTGGTGGCTAAAAAAGAAATATAGACTGGGTATGGTGTCTCACGCCTGTAATCCCAGCACTTTGGGAGCCCGAGGTGGGCGGATCACCTCAGGTCAGGAGTTCAAGACCAGCCTGGCCAACATGGTGAAACCCCATCTCTACTAAAGATACAAAAATTAGCCAGGCGTGGTGGCACGGACCTGTAATCCCAGCTACTCAGGAGGCTGAGGCAGGAGAATCGCCTGAACCCAGGAGGCGGAGGTTGCAGTGAGCCAAGATTGCACCACTGCACTCCAGCCTGGGCAACAGAGTAAGACTCCATCTCAAAAAAAAAAAAAGAAAAAGAAAAAGAAATAACAAAGAAAAGAGGGTCCTAGTAGATGTCCTAGGTAAGAGGAAGCAAAATGGCCCTACCCATCAATGATAAGAGATTCATAGGGAGCCTTCTTGTCACACACAGGACATGTCCACGTAGGCTTCTTCTCATTCATCTGGAGATAAAGGGCAGCATCGAAGCTCTGCAGGTGGGCGCAGGTGAGGGCACGACAAGGGACAGTGAGGCGCATCTTCCCTAGCTGAGGAGAAGCAGTTTCTCTTGTCAGAGGCTCCAGTCTGGTTTCATCCCAGAAAACTTCACTCCAGTATTCCTAGGAACCCTCATCAAAGTCCACAGGCTAAACCCAACTCCCTTCCCACCCTGTTCCCTTCTCCCCTTTTACCCACCGGGCACATGAGTGACACCCGGAGACTCGTAGTGGCCACCTCACTGTCAGGGTCAGCAGTCAATTTCTCCTTGACTGAAACAAAAGTGAGGCCAGAGCCATGGGGTCAGCAAGGCTGGAGGCAGCCCAGGAGCTGGTAAGGCCAGGAACGGATGGCTCTGGCTGAGAGGGTGCTGGGTGGAGCGTCTTTGGGGGCCAGTGGGACGTCACATGGAGTGGTCTGGGATATGAATGATAAAGGCTGGGTGTGGAGGATTTTCCCATCCCTAAAGATGCTTAAACATAGCTGGGTGACACTCTG